TTTCCTCAGCCTCCCTAGTAGCTGGGACTACAAGAGCTTGCCACTGCACCTAACATATTTTTTAGAAAATTTAATTAACTAAATTTGTAATGAGGTTAATTGTTTAAGAGAATTTAATTTGTTTAACTTAGCTATTAATTGCACATTAATCAAAGATCATGAAAAGAGATCATTCTTAGTTTTAATTAATTAAAAAAACTTATAAATGGAGTAATGAGATGGGTAAGTTGAATGAAACTAGGTTTTTGGATTTATCTGGTGAGTAATCAGAGAATAACCTTGGGTTGTAAGGAAAAAGTGATTAAAATAAGTCTCTCCCTGTGGAGCAAGATGTGTACCTATTTCTAACCTGTCTCAATAGGCAGAAGGAGGGCTGGATTCATAAATGATGTTTGTTAATAGCTGAATAGTGATTTGGTATTTAGGTAAAAGATATTAAAATAGTATCTAGGTTGTCACCAATTCCATGCTTACAATCAGAAGAAACAGAAACTTCCTTTAGAAAGAATTCTAAAACTAAGATGCTTCATGTAGACTTGGTTCATGACTTATACCATGTGTTTAGCCCATTCTGTGTTGGCAATATGCCTGGGATCAGAACAGCAGGAGGATGCAAAATCCTTTATTATCAGTTCAGTCAAGTTATTCAATTTCTAAAGACCTAGCCATAGCAGGTTAGGAGTTTAAAGCAAACAACAGCATTCACTTATTCATTCAGTGAATTTTTTATTGAATATCTATAGGACAAAAAAGAATCTATCATAAAGGATGTAAAGGTGAAAGGACCTAGTGTTCTACCCTCAAGGACTATAAGGGACTTATAGTCAGTGAAGGATATAAGCCATCTATAACAATAATAGTACAGTTGTTTTATGTCACAAGAAAAAGAAATATGTTTATCATGATCTATTATGTGTCAGGCAATATGCTCTTGTCTATGACATCTGGTCAGATCCTTGTAACAACTATGGGAGATGGATTTGAATAGGAACCTGCAAAAATCATTCATAACTGAGGATATCTGATTAGGGAATACAGGTGCAAAGGAATTCAGGTCCTGCAGTCTGTGTGGTGTGGGCGGACAAAGAAGCTTAGTTCAGAGAGCTAAGTGGGGGGCCAGGATGTAAAGGCTCTTGGATGTTAGTCAAGAAAGTCTAGGTTTTGTGCCTTACTAAAGTCAAGAGTGACCAGGCTGTGTTTTAGATAGCTGCATCTGGAAACCTGAGAAGACCAGGCAGGCATGATGATTAGGGCAGCGGTTTCTTGGAGTCTGCATCTAAACAAACTAAGTACGGAAGGTGCCCTCAGGCCTACTTTTGGAACATATTTCTGTTCCAAAACAAGCTGAAGACTCAGGTTGGTCTTTGTTACTCCAGAGGGCAGAACTAATAGAGGGTAAATCATGGACAAACAGTGTTTTAGATATGGAAAGGAAAAATAGCTTGGGAGTCTAGCAGACCTTGGTTTCAATCCCAGTTCCCGGTGTTCTAAAGCAATCCATTTACACAATCTTGCTGTGCCTTTGAGTCAGTATGTTACAATGCTTGCTAGTAACATTCACTTACAGGATGGTCGAAGGATTAAAACAAGGTGGAGACCTTTTGGGAGAAAAGTCAAAAACAGCATCTGGTTCAACTGGAGAAAGATCTTCAACAGTGGGCTGCTTTCCTAGTTTGTGTGCTCCTGTTGCCAGGGAAATTCAAGCAGGGGCTGCAGGCCACCTGTCAGGAATGCTGTAGAAGGAGTTCTTGCATCCAATATAGGTTGCATCAGAAGACTTTTAGGACTCCTCTCAGCAGAATTTCTGCTGCTTTGGTTGTGCACCATCCCCAATAGTGATGATAATACCTGGTAATGTTCATGGGTACCAAAGGGAAGGCTGATCATCAGAATAGCTAGGCAGAAAATAGTTACCTAGATCTAATTAATGTTGAAACCGTAGACATTGTAAAGGGGACATTTTCATTAAGTGAGCTAAGACCCAGGATAGTGGGTAAGTCCTAGGTTCCTGCCCATCTGCCATCTGTTTTTGCTTCTGTTGCAGTGTCCTGATCCTCTGCAGTTTTCCCAAGACACCAAAGGCCAGTTATTTAAATGTGTTTGTTAGATTCTTTTTTAAAAAATAAAATCTTATAATGAAGCCTAAATGATTAACAGGGCTGGGATTGTGGCTCAGTAGTGCAGCAGTGCAGCGCTTGCCTAGCATGCGTGAGACATTGAGTACGATCCCCACCACCACATGAAAAAAAAAATTAACAAATTAAAAAAAAGGAAAACAGCTGTCAGTGGTTAAAATGGGCTGTGGTGAGGTAGGAGAGGTGGCTGAAATCTTCCCTTTCTCTGGGTAATCCCTGGTTTGAACACTGCTGCTCCAGACCTGGCCTGTTTTCAGCTCTCCTCTGGAGTCTTTTGTTTTCTGGATTCCGATGGCAGCTGTTATCATTCCAGCTGCAGAGGGGATGGGAGGCAACTTCCTGTTATTCTATCCTGCCATCCCTACGGGGGTGGACATTCCCTCCCCCATCTCCTGTGTTCAGCAGTAATTTGGAAGAACTTGAGCCTAGAGGCAGCCAATCTATTTCTAGGGCTGGAGGAATGGCCATGGCCAGACACTGTTTGAAGGCATCTGGGGAGCAAGGCAGGTAATGGGCACTGACAGACAAGTGCATCTCCGACTTAGAGGAGGAAAGATGAGTAGCAGAGAGAGGTTGAATTGTAGATTGAGAAGGTGTCTGAGTTAAGGGTCGTTAAATAAATGGTGGGTGGGTGAGTAGGGGAGGGAAGGGCTCTTATCCAAGCAGAGATAGAGGATAGAGGGGATGTGGGGAGGTGAGGGTGTGAAGGAGGGGGGGCTTGAAGAAATCAACGTTGAAGTTTTTGGTCAAGGGATTATTTGGAAGGAGAGCACATTTAAGATGTAAGAATGGTGTGACTCTGCATTCTGTACAACAAGAGAAATGAAAAGTTGTGCTAAAAAAAATGAAAGGAATGGAAGGGGGAAAGAAATGATATGAATATCTATTTCCTGGGGCCCTAAATATTAATCAAGACTTTTCCTTGAATTGACTATAAGGAACACAAAGAGGAATGAACCATGGAGCTTACTCTTCAGAAAGCAAGAAATGTATTCAACAGGAAGGTGGGAAATGTATTTAACTGGACATGTAAAACCACATATTTAAACATCTGTAGAATCTCAATTATCCTTATAAAAACCTCTGACATAGGTATTGTCAGCCTCATTTTAGAGAGGAGGTAACTGAAGTTTAATTTCAGTGACTTGCCCAAAGTTACTGACCTCAGTAGCAAAGCTGTGCAAAGGACTCACTCCCTATTCTTGTTCATTGTAGCACAGCCAAATCTTGGCAGAGGACAAAGACTTTAATTTAATTAGGCTTTGAGAGAAGAGTAGGGATTCCAGTTATGCCAAAAGATGAGAAACAAGCGAAGATCTGTGAGAGACAGGTTTGATTGCAGCAGAGGGGTTCCCAGGAGTGATGTAGTAGATAAGGTGGGAATTTAAATAGAAGCCAGATTAGGGAGTTTTAAGAGCCAACCTGAGAATTGCAGGGAAAAGGAGCCCGAGGAACACCCCACTTCCATTCCTTATATCTAGTAGTGGTGCAGAGAAAGAATTAGAGCTGGCTGGGTGGGTGGGGAATGGAATCAGGAATACAAGTGAGGAGTTTGAAATAGTGTAAGACAAATAACACAATGGTAATAATATAAAGTAGGTGTGAAAGCGGTAGCTCAAGTCTGTGTTTTTTTTTTTTTTTTAAATAGCATTACAGTGTTTGAAAGAATGTGGAGTACAAACACGTGTGTATAAACACAGGATGGTTGTGACGATTTAACATAACATAATGCTGGACTCCGCACCTACCTCTGCAAATTTTGACAGACTGGTGAAATGGATGACCAGTCATCAATCACAAAACAATAAAAAGCAACAGAAAATCAATAATTAATTCATTGCATTTCCAGAAGATGATGGATAATATGCTACCTATATCCTATATAAATAGAGCCACTTTTCAACATTCGTTTCTGCCTTGGATAAACAGAAAGAACGTGGTCTGAGAATCTTTGTTTTCTCAGCCAAGGGAATTACACAGGGAAATATCCGCCAAGGGTAAATGTTAGTTAATTCTTAATGATAGCTCAGCCAATGCAATTGGTTCCATTCAACAGTAATTATTCTCGTGTGGTTTGTTGAACTCAATTGTGAGGTTTCTCCCCTTTCCCCCTTTTCAGTTGTGCGTTCAAGCAGTAGTCTTAAGGTCCTTAAAAAGGTAAATAATATACATATGTGTGTGTGTGTGTGTGTGTGTATATATATATATATATTTTTTTTTTTTCTTACTCTGGAGATTCCATCTTATTTGCCTTGGAAGCTTGTGGGGCGTGATTTTTTTCATCGCCAAAAGGAAAATCAGTCACATTAACCCACCAGTTAACAATCCAGAGCTGGGTCGCCGTTTCTAGGGATTCTCTTCCCAATCTCTGGAAGTGCTTTTAAGTTTTAAATTCCCCTTCTGAAGCAACACCCAGCAGACCCACGAAGGAAAGGCAGGAGGGTGAGCTGGCGTTTCCTTTATTTGCATGACTTGAAGCTAGCCATTTTCTGCACCACGCGCCGCCGGGATCGTACTTGCCCGTGACACAGAGGCAATTGTTTTGCCTTAAAAAGGGGGCTTGGGTGGGTTGGTTTCGTTTCTGATCTGGAATATAAAAATAAATACTCCAAGGGGGGGAAAAAAAGTTTAAAACTCGGCTCGCCAGGTTCTTCGCCATCCCATTATCTCCGTTCCTCACAGACAGCAGGAAGGGCAGCATTTTTTTTCTATCAACACCCACTTCCAGCCCAATCTCGCTCAGCGAGGAATGTATAAAATTAGTGGACTCCTCTGAGTGACGTGCGGTCGGCCCAATCAGTGGGGGCGCAGGCGCAGCCGCCCCGCCCCGCTGCCCACGCTCTTTGGCTCATTTCTGCAGGCGGGGACGAGAGAGGGCGGCGGTGGGAGGAGGAGGTACCTGGGGCTGGGAGTGATGTCAGCTCCCAGCTCGGTGCCTGCCCGGATTCCTGACATGGTGTAGGGCAGACAGGGTGGGGACTGGCCGGGGAAGGAGTCGTGCGCGGCTTGCCTGCGGCTGGGCCCTGTGGCGGGGCTTTGAACTGGGAGCGACGGTGAACGGAACTTTTGGAAGTAGTGCCGGCGGCTCGCCACCCCCAGGTAAGGGCGGTTGGCCGCGCTCACTCGGCCACCGAGCCGAGTGGCACCGCTGGGCGGCTGCAGCCGCCCCTCCCCTTCCCGGGGTCGATTTCCTTTTTCCAGCTCGCTCCTGTTTCCCAAAGGGGACCGACACTTTTGGGGGGCGGAGGTGGGGGTCGGGCTCAACCCCTGACGGCGCCGCGGCGGCTTCCGTGTGGAAAACGCCCGCACGGCTGGACGCCGGGGGTCTCGTGCGTGTCCGTGGGCCCCGCACCCTGCTCCCGCAATAATTCCAGAGAAGCCCAGTCCGAGAAGTATGGGTGAGGGTGGGCGAGGGGGTCCTTAACAATGCCACAGAAATCTTCGGAACCATCGACTCAATAATCAAGCTTTCTGAGAGGGAAAAAGTTTTGTAATTCTTCAGTTCTTCCTGTGGCCTGTTGTTACACGTTAAGTAAAGTAATATCAATCTTTTGCTTAGAGATCATCGTACAATCCTTTTTTTTTTTTTCCCTAATCCGGTCAGGATGTGAGAAATGCACTTGGGGTGCATTTATTGTGAGCCTGTGGGAAAACTGGTCTCCTTGGGCACCCTCTAAAACTGATCCCTGTTCGCTTGCATCCCTGCCCCAACTTTGGGCTCCCTGGGGGGTTAGGGAGGCCGCCCAGAATCTTCACATCTGCTTCCTGCGGCTGCCTGACCTGACGGAAGGATGAGGGCTGTTAGTTGTGTTTTCAGGAATCATTTTTTTTTTTTTTTAAGATAAGCGAGTTTTAAGAGGGAAATGTGGTGGAAGGCGTGGCCTACAAGCTCTTCATTATGCGGCGTGTGAAGTTTTCAACATGTGGGACCAAATCAAATCCTTGCTTTCACTAACAACCCCAGACAGCAATGCCGAGAGAACTTGATTTAAAAGACTCTGTATGGTAGTTAGAGGAAAGCTTTTGCTGTCAAGAGGGAAAAAGTCACTTAAAGAAGTGTAAGACTGTGATTCTGATGTTTATTTCCTGTTTCAGACCTATTCTTTTTCCTGCGTGGAGATTTTGTGTGTGCAGGTCACTAGCTGAATGTGATTGACTTTTTGAAGAAAAAAGTTGACTCTGCACACTGATTCAGAACGCTGCTTATCAGTACTTCAGGGCTCATTCTTTTGGCTGAGACTTGCCAGTAGTTTCCCTTTTCTTTCTTGCTGACCTCTGTAGTGAAGATCCCTCCTGTTGCCAGGTCTGGAGGAAATGGAGTGGACTTCACTGTGAGTCAGGAGCTGTTTTCCAGGCCTCTGACCAAAAGGGCATTTCCAGCAGATGGGGGAAAAAAAGAAGCCACATTAGGTCTGGTAAACCCAAGTCAGTTGGTGTAGTGATGGAGGACTTTATGGATGGTTCTCTTGTCTTTGTAGCAGATGACAGGTTTCAGAGCTAGAAAGACCTTGTTGTGTTTTGTTCTGTTGTTGTTTATAAAACACCTGGGTGTGTACTGTTCTTAGTTCCTGCAAAAATTAAATAGCACAGGGTAGATCAGAGCAGGCTTTTTGAAAAGAGAATGCATACTTTACTGGAAAGACCAGAACATTTTAATTTTGGCTTGTGTTTTGGATGGAAACACAGAAATTGCTAATGGCTCAGCAATAATGGTGAATAAGATTTTTCTGTTTATGTTCTGTGGTGAGTATGGAAAATGTACTGAATTTTCCAGTTTGTTTTTTTCAGTAGGAAAGATGTGGAATTCTTGTGGGCTAAAGTGAGCTCTCCCTACTTTGGTTGATTAGAGTATTCAAACTGCAGCTTATAATACCAAAAGATGGAGCTGCAAAAACTAGACAGGCAAGCAAAAAGTATCTTTAGGATATTATCTTCATGCGCCAAATTCAGATTTACACTTTCTTTCCAAGAAGCTAGTCTCAGTTTAGGGACTTGAATATTTCATGGCTCTAAATTTGATTCACAGTGTTTGTAATAACAGTCATTTTACCTTATTTTTCCTTCTCCACCCATGTTTATGGGGACAGATGTGGTACAGTATAACATGGTATTCTAAAGGACAATACTTAAAAAAAAAAGGTTTGCATTATTGATAAAGATAGGATCAGGGTTTGGTTGAATTCCTTTTGATAAACAGCTAACATTGTTCCAGTGTACTTTAAAAATTAGGGTCAACTAGCCTTAATGAACAAGTGTGAACTTGAAATCCAGGCCACACTGTAGTTTCAGATCAATAACGCCTAATCACAGGGTATCAGAAAGTTCTTGGGAACAAGTTCAATGAGGGAGATTTAGTCAACTATGTGGTCTTTTTGTCACTCTTTGTACCAGCATGAGATAAATCAGTACAAGATTATTTCCCCGTTACTGATTTATTATTTTTTAAAAAAATCTGTCTTATCCATGACATGAAATATTTGTTTTTGTAGTGAATTTTGTTGACAGTTTGTTATATTAAAATTAATTTTTGAGTTTCTCATCTTCCATTTTTAAAGGTACCTTATCTCAGAATACAGCGTTTTTGAACTGCTGACTGAAAGAAGACCTCATTCAACATTCTGACTTTTCAGAAATATTAGTACATGTCTCTGACCTGATTTGGATTACCTTCTCAAAACAACAAATGAATGAGTTAATTAGAGCATATTCATTTATATGTCACCTCAAATGAAAGCATGGGCAAGATGCATTGTATAATCCAGAGATTACCCTAGAAAGTTCTATTAATTTTGAATTAAGAAAAAAAATCACAGTAGTGCAGCTAATTATGAAATCTTGCAGGGAGCCATAGTTGTTATTTTTTTTTTTAAATGATGGTCAAATAGAGATGGGTTTAAACAAGAGATTCAAAGCTGTTAAGGCTACTGTCACATTTTGATGCTTGGCATTGTTTGGAAATAAAGAACAGTGTGTTTGTCCTTTGACTAGCGGTTCTGTTCAATTAAAAGCTGATAATTTCACAATTAAATCAATCATCAAACTGTCTAAAAACTGACACTACCCCAAAACTGCCACAGGCTGATGCAGTTTTCTCATCTGTAGTATTTTATGTCATTTATTTCTCACACTTATTGTAGTGTGTGTCAGAACCTGTATTGTCACATATATCACAGAAGTTGATGCTTTATTAATGGAGCTCATGGCTCCCCCCCAAAAAAAAACCAAAACTAATTTGAGTTAACTCACTCTACAAAATACAAATATTTTAAAAATCTTTTATTTTAAATACAATAATTATTGATGTAAATTTGGAATTAGATGTTGATGTTTCAGAAAGCCAAATGGTGAGGGTTTCTGTTACTTCAGTATTTTTTCCCCCTACCTTAAAGGAACTGAAACACCAAACAGCTGGAATTTAAGAAATGGGCTCTTCCAGAAGTTGAAAGTTTGCACACTTCGTAGGTAACTGTGGGGGAGAAGGGAGGGTCTGAGTTAAACATATAGCACACTGTACTTTTCTATTTCTGAAATATGGGCTTGGACTCTGAGTGGTCCAGGTGGGTGTGTTGTCACAGTTTGCGACTGCACTTGGGTTATGAGTCTCCCTGGAACGTGGTGTGACTCAACGTTTTGACTGGCACATAGGCACATCCTTGTTTTTGTTGGCAAGTGTAAAGGGTTGAGAATAGAAAGACCATTTGGTGGTTTCTGTACGGTGGTACACCTAAAAATGTCCGTGACTGAAGGAACTGTACAGACTTAAATTGCATTGAGTATCAGTCATGCTGGCAAAGGCTCATAGCTTAAATGTGGGTGGTGTAGGAGGAAGATCAAGTACTATAATGTTTGCGGCTGACTGTAGATTTCTTGGACATCCTCTGAACTCTAGAGTAGGTTTAGGTATATTTACCTCTCCTTTAATTTAGGGAAATCAAACACTGGACATAAAAACACACAAGTTTAGGGAAGCAGGTATGCTTATTCCTAGAGTATTTGTTAAAAGGCAAACTTAACTTCACCTGGTGAGTGACTGAGAATTTGGTTACTTATTTCTGAGTAAGACTTGCCACTCTTTTCAGAAATAAGTAACCAAATTCTTTAGTGAGGGAGACAGTTCTTGAGAAGAAGTAGGTAGGCCCACTGGGAAATGTGTTAACTCTTTCATAGGATGGTTGTTAGGCTGTACAGTATCACTCAATGTGCCTACATTATCTTGTGTTTCTGTGCCTAGGAAGTAGCTCACTGCAGTTCTTTTTCTGGCCTTTTGTCATCTTTATCTTCATCTGTATTACATCGTACAAATGTCATCCTATTGCTACAGAGTTGTATGAGTATTTATGAGGAAAGTTTATTGAATCGCCTTTATTTGGAAAAAGTGAAAACTATTTTTAAACTCTGTGGCCTACTTTCTTCATGTAGTAGCTTGACAGTGTAGCTGCAGTTATACAGATAAAGTCCCTATAACCACTATCTTTTTCTAAAGATACGGATTTTTAGAACAACACACAGTAGAGAATTTTATTTCATTTGAATTGGAATTGAAACATGTTCTTTTTTTATGAATGATAGAAGAGTCAAATGGGCTTCTAAGTTAATTCTGGGAAGTGAGAAGGGAGGTAGGGAGTCATTGAGTAGTCAGGGGAAAACACTCTGTTTGAACCTGTGATTCCAGGTTTAGGACCATATGTGTGAAGTCACCTGGGTCTCAGTGTTTTTCCTCTGGATCAGCTGCTTGGATGTTCTTGTCAAACTTTCACATTCTTCCATCCTCCACTTCCAACAGTGTATGACTTTGCATAACTGAAAAAGCTTCTAAATACAGAATTTAGGTTCTTTGTGGTTCTTTACTGTTTATTCTTTGCCAAGGATACTTTGATTCTTTAGGTTGACTTGCCCTCTACATCACTCTGTGGACTGGACACACCCAGATGTGTATCCTGCCCATGTCTTCCATACATGTAACCCCATTTTGTTTAATTCACCACCATGGCCAGTTAAAAGTGCCCAATTTCCCAGAATCCCCTGCAGCGGGGGTGTCTTAGTGATGTAGTCCAGGCTAGTGAGATGTAAGTACTAGGGTCCTCCCTTATCCCCAAAGC